CAGATTTTATTCTTTCTAATCTTTTTTTTTTTTTTCTTCAATTGTATCAATAAGTTATTACCCTAATTTAATACTTCTCTAGAAAGTTTATTTGATCGTACTGGTCCTGCGCAGCACCATGTGTAGCGCAGCTATCCTTATTGTATATTTATGCGACTTTATCAAGCAATGTATTTTTAATAAAAAGTTTTTATCATGAGATAAATAAATGCACATTTAAATCTGCTCAGATACAGTATGTTCGTTTATACTTTATACTTGTTCACGTTACTTTTGTTCTATGACACCACTAGACCTTCTCATCTACACTTCGTATTTATAGTCTCTAGCTAATAATTATTACTAACAGATTTTTTGCATGCCCAAAAGGCCTTAAACCCTAGTGTAATACTACGTACGACCTTCAACATAAATTTTAGATAACAATCAGTAAGGCCATGCAAAATTAATACATTGGTTTTCGTAACCCGACCTGGTCGATTTTTGTAGACCTTTGAAAAAAATTTTCATATATAAAAATCTCCGGGACAGTTTTTCTTAAAAAAAAAAAAAAAAAAAAATTTACATTTTAAAATTTTTTATTACGAAACCTAACTTTGTATAGCCTAATATAACTCATCTCAAAAGTTAAAAACACTGTTTATTATTATTCTTTTACGAAGTTTCAGATTAAATAATGATTCAATACTAAATATTTGCTAAAGTAAATACAAAAAAAAAATGATTTTGTATTACAACTTACACATCAAATCATTTAATTTTATAACTGGTGTCGGAGCAGGACCCAATTGCATATTACTCTTCCAAATAGTAATATCTTCAATTAATTCATTTTCTGGTCTAAGATTTGGTAAAATTATATTTGTTGAATCAACTTTTTCTTCTTCATTTATAATATTTTCATTTAAATAAGTTTCTCCAACATTTTTAATTAACTCTTCAATTTTTTCTTCTTGAGTTTGACTTTGATCTATTAAGAATTGTTTTAATAAAATTTCTAATTCTTGTCCATCCATAATTTCTTTTGATGATAAAAATGTTTGTAAACTTTCAATTGTTATTGTATTAAAACCTTGAATTGATAAACATGAATAAATATGATTAATATCAATTGGTTTTGGTTTTTTAATGGATTTTTGAGATCTAAGGTGAACTGATAATTTTTTTTGTATTGGTGAAGATGGATGAATTAATTGTTTATAAAAGTCAAGTAATTCAAGTTTTGTGATTGTACGTAATTCTGCTACATCCGTATTAACTATTTTATCAAAATAAATAATTAATTAATTATAAGAAAAAAATATAGAATAATATCAAAAAAAAAAAAAAAAAATTTTTTTTAAATGAAATATATACCTTGATCAAAGTCATAATATCCGGAATCAATATGATTCCAATGTCGACGAATTTCTTGATATAAATTCTTTGGTTTTTCTAATTTTTTTGTGATAAGAGATTGAACCTGTTTTTGATATTCTTCTTCGGGCATTTCTTCAATCAAAATCTATTTAAATTAAAGAAAATATATATTAAATTACTAAACAAATAAAATTCAAAACGTTGGTTTTTTTTAAAAAAAAAAAAAAAAAAAAAAATTTACTTGTAATGTATTTAAAAATTCTTCAATTTTATTTTCAAGATAAACAGTATCCTTTTCACTTTGTATGATAAATCTTACACCCAAACTGCACTGATAGAGAAATTCGTGCTGTTGATTCTGGTGCGTTAATAGTTATTAAAAATATATATATATAATTTACTCCTAGATTTTATAATTGTTACCATTTTCTAGGATACTAACGTTAGTGAAATCTCATTATACACAGAATACAAAAAGAATCTTCAATCTGATTCATGGCGTTTATACCAGCTGGAAAGATCATTATCTAATCCAAACCATCCATTTTCTCGTTTTGGAAGTGGAAATTTGTTCTCTTTAAAAGAACTTCCACTTCAAAAGGGTTTGAACATAAGAGATGAATTATTAAAATTTCATGATAAATATTATTCTGCCAATTTGATGAAATTGGTCGTTTTGGGTAGAGGTAATTGGTTTTAAACGAATATTTATTTGACTTTTAAAAACTTTAAAATCATTTTCTTATAATTATATTCTATATTATAGATCCTTTAGATCAAATGGCTTTGTGGGTTGTCGATAAATTTTCAGGAGTTAAAAATAAGGGTATTCCGGTCCCTACATTTGAATGCCCATTGACTGAAAGTGAATTAATGGTATATTAATTTTTGATCAAATCACGTATTTTAATTATATTGTAATTTTAAAATTTAATAATTCTCGTTATTTTTTCTTAATTAATTAATAATAGAGACAAGTATTTGTGAAACCAGTTAAAGATATACGTTCCTTAGACATAACTTTTCCTTTCATAGAACAGGCGCCTTTATATACTTCAAAAGTGCGAAACTTGTCTTCCTTTATTATATAGTTTATTACCTTTTAAAAACAAATTTTTAATCGTAAATTATTAATAGCCAGGAAGATATTTATCGCATTTAATTGCACATGAAGGGTATGGTTCTATTTTATCTCTTCTCAAAAAGAGAGGTAAGATTAATCAAATTCAATTCAATTAAAATATATTTTTAAGATGATAATTTTCATATATATTTACATTATTTGACATAAATTATTAGGTTGGGCAAATTATTTAGATGCTGGATCGGTTTCTGGAGCTGTTGGATTTGATTTTTTTAAAATATCAATAGATTTAACAGAAACTGGATTAGGTAAAATTATAAAAAATTTTTATTAGTATAAACTATTTTGAAAAGGTATATTTATTAATATATTTAATATATAGGTCATTATAAGGAAATAGTAAAAGTCATATTTCAATATATTAAAATGTTGAAACAAATTGGTGTTCAAGAATGGTGCTTTCGAGAAGTAAATATTTTTCATATTTTTGATTTTCAAATAATAAAAGGTTTATTACTTAATTATTTTTATTAAAGGTTCAATCTCTAGCAGAGATTTCATTTCGATTTAAAGAAAAAACATCACCAGCACGTTATGCTTCAAATCTTGCGAGTCTTATTCAAAGACCATATTGTACGCGAGCACCTTTTTAATTTATTTAATAACTATTCTATTTAAACTAATTTTTTAATTTAAAATCATAGCACGTGATTGTATCATAAGTGGGCCACATCTTATTCGTGAATATAATCCAAAACTTATAGATGAAGCGTTAAAATGTTTAAATTGGGATAGGTTTGTTCTTACTTTGGTCAGTCCGTCATTTACTGACCTAGATAGAAAAGAACCGTGGTTTGAAACAGAGTATAGAGTTGAACCTTTTAGTAAAGAATTTATTGAGGTATTAAATAAATAAAAAATATTATCATGTAAAATTTTATTAAATAGCATAAAACCAATCTTTCTTGCATATATATATATATATATATATATATATATATATATATTATTAGGAATTACAAAGTCATGGAATTGACTCTGAGTTAAAACTTCCACCTCCTAATGATTTTATTCCTACAAATTTTGAAACGCATAAGCATGAAGTCACGGTATAATCTAAATTTTTTTTGTTATTGCCTAGATTGATTTTTTTATAATGTTAATAACTTGTAATACTTTATTTTAGCCACAAAAACATCCAAATATTATTAAAAATACCTCATTTTCTCGGTTATGGCATAAAAAAGATGATACATTTTGGGTACCAAAAGCTAGTGCATATTTCTTACTTAAAAGGTATTAATAAATGTTTTTAATTTCATAATTTTTATAAGTACATTTAAGATTTCTTTTAAATTTCATCATTTTTAGAGATATATTATCGAACATTACTTAATATACATAAAATAATTAGTCCTTTAGCATACGCACCATCACCATTACATTGCATAAAAACCAGGTAAATTAATCATCGATTAATTTTTTTAAAAGATAATTTTAAGATCAAATTAATTAAATTTTTTTCAAATTAATTAAATTAATTAAAATTAAAAAGGCTCTACACTGAATTGGTAAAAGATTCCTTGACTGAATACTCATATAGTGCTGATCTCGCTGGTTTAAGATACGATATTGAAACACAACGTGAAGGAATACTTTTGTCAATAGAAGGATATAATGATAAGCTTCATGTACTTTTGGAAAATATTGTACGTGCAATGATACCAAAGTTTATAATTTATCCAGGTAGATTTGAAAAAGTTAAAGAAAGACTTCAAAGAGCATATAAAAATACTTTTTTGGACCCACCTCATCATCATGCTACTTATTATCTTTCATATCTTACAAGAGATCAAATGTGGACTAATGAAGAAAATTTGGAAGCATTAGAAGATATAACTGAACAAGATATAAAAACATTTTATCCAGAATTATTTAGTCATTTATATATTGAATCATTAGTTCATGGAAATATGTTTAAAGATGAAGCTTTAAAACTTTTACAAATCGTTGAAGATATTTTAAGATTTAAACCTCTTTTATCAACAGAATTAATCGGTTGTAGAAGTATAATATTACCAAAGGGGAAAAAATATTTATATCAACGTAAAGTTCGAGATCAAAATAATGTTAATTCTGCAATTGAATATTATATTCAAGTAGGAAATGTAGCGGATAAAAAGTTAAGAGCAAAATCAAGTTTATTAGCACAAATTATGAATGAGCCATAGTTGTAAAGTTGAAGGAATTGAAAGATAAAAGAGAATCTCGAGATTTAACGTTCGTGTTACGAAATGACGAAGTACAAGAAAGTTTTAAAGATGAAAGAAAAGTCAGTCGTCTGTGTGGACGAGAAGTTCTAAAAAAAGAATAAATTAATTAAATTCTTTAGACCTTTTACGTATTAGAGTAGAATATTGCATATTACTTTAGCCAATAGCCCAAAGTTCTACGGCTTTTGACGGAGTATGATCGAAAAAATGACATCAATCTCAATCTACAAAAAATCTGATCAGTGACATGTCGTACATGATCGAGAAGTTCATTTAACAATTTGTATAACTTTAATTTGTTATCAAATTTAACGGAAAATAACAACTAATTCTTCAGAACCTATAACTGATTAAAAGTAATGAAAATAAAAAAGCCGTGTACACTTAGAGTGTGCATTTATAGAATATATATGTATATAGTTACTAGAAGCTATACTGTACGTTTAGAGAGGAAATTAATTTACATGAGCATGCATTTAGAATTTAAATGAGCGTGCATTTAGAATTTAAATGAGCGTGCATTTAGAGAGAAAGATAAGCGTGCATTTAGAGAGAAAGATAAGCGCGCATTTATAGTGTATGCTGTAGATTTAAGCTTCTATTTGCTTCTATAGATTATTGTTATCGTTAATAGGATTTTCTAAATTAAAAAAAAAAAAAAAAAAAAAAAAAAAAAAAAAAAAAATTTCATTTTGAAAGTTATATGTTAATTAACTGAACTTAAAGAATATCTAATATTGCTTGCAAACTCCAAAATAGTTTCGATGAATTTTTACTAAGTACAGTAATTATTTGAGCTAGGATTTCTACTTTTACAATCCCAGGTTTCGATGAATATCTAGCGGTTTCTGCTAGCATCTTTGAGAACATCTACCAAAGAACATCTAAGGATTATTAGAGAACTTTAGAGTGTGTCTAAGAAATATCTAGATATTTCTAGATAAATTCTAGATATTACTTAGAGATTCTCTAAGATATTTCTTTGACATTCTCCAAGATATTTCTTAGACATTCTCTTAAGATATTTCTTTCTTTCTCAAAGTTCTCTAGATATCTCTAGTTAATTCTTAGATATTCTCTAAAGTTTTGATATTTCTTAGATATTATCTAGATATCTCTAGAAATATATATAGAACCTAGAGAATAGCGATGAATTTTTGCAAGTTACAGTGATCCTGATTACTTCAATTATTCAATATTCCGAAGAAATTATTTTTGTCTCAAATCAACCCAAGAAAAAAAAAAACACCTAATTTTATATTAGAGAACATTTTATGAATGAGCTCGAATTCTTGTGATAATATCGCCGTGAATAGTATATATTTATTAATTATAAAATTTTATATCATATACGTAATGCAACAATAATAGTCGTTGAAGAATATTCACGATCATTTACACTACGTAGTTACGGCAATATAACAAAGTTACGGCATACGTATAAGTTACGTCATAATGTAACTATATTAAGAAATATCTAATGTCTAGAAAACCTATTTAAAGATATTTAGAAAATCATAGATAATGTCTTAAGAAATAAATATTCGTATAGAATATCTAAAAGATATCTTGAGAACCTGATAAATATCTAAAAAAAAAAAAAATCTTAGAGAATATCTAAAAGGTGTCTAAAAGAAATTTAGAAACCGTTTATATTCTAAAGAATATTTTAGAGAATATCTAAAAGAAATTAAAAAAAAAAAAATTAAAAAAATAATAAACGGTACATATCGATATATCCATATATTGATATACAATAAGTGACGCAAAATAAAGCCACATACTGTATAAATTAGGGATAATTTTAACGAGATTAACTCTCCTTAGCATTATCGTTTTTAAACGGTCATTATCAAAATTTGGTAAAAAAAAATTATTAAATGCATAAAAAAAAAATGCTTGTTAATCATGAAATAATAAAATACCTGATTAAATGTAAATCAAGATTACACTTTTATGTCAAATTAATTTCCGGTCACTATAAAGATTATAAAAATTTGATATGTAATTAATCATTACTAAACATAATTAAATTATAATCGTTATTTGTTATTATAATAAT